GCTCTGTTTGGTGTGCCTGCTTCCTGCTCCCAGAGGCTCTAGCATTGTCTCTGTTTCTGTGCCCTAGAAGCTACTGATGATGGCTGGTACTTCAGCCAGGAGCTGCACTGCCTCCCTGGGCAACTTTGCCAAGGCGACCTTTGGGGCCATCTCCAAGACCCCCGACCTCTGGAAAGAGATTGTGCTCACCACATCTCCTTATCAGAAATTTACTGATCATCTTGGGAAAACCCACACCAGAGTCTCTGTTCAGAGGACCCAGGTTCCAGCTGTGACTACCACATAAGGGGGGATATATATATATATATATATATATATATATATATATATATATATATTAAATGAATGAATTCTGTTAAAAAAGTCTACACTTTAAAATAAATAAATGAGAAAAAAATTCTACACTTAAAATTATTAGTTCAAACTGTTTTTATTTTGTTTTATTTTATTTTGTTTTTTTCCAGACAGGCTTTATCTTTATGTAGCTCTGGCTGTCCTAGACTTTGTAGACCAGGTTTGGCCTTGAACTCACAGAGATCTGCCAGCCTCTGCCTCCCTGAGTGCTGGATTACAGGCGTGCACCACTGCTTCTGGCTATATTAGTTCAAACTAGGCTAGGATTCCTGTTGCACTTGTCAAGTTGTGTCAATGCTACTGATTTAAAAATACTGATCAAATCATGTTATTCTTTTTCTAAAGACTCTCTAAAGATGAATTTTGGACAATCGTTTAGATGCCTGAGGTGGGGTATTCTGCAGATTGCTCCTCAGTTTACCTTTCTGACTTTGGCTCCTGTTCCTGCCTGTGGGCCCCTTCCTCAACCACACAAAATGAAACACCCATAGCCTGGGCCAGAGCTGCAGGCCTGATTGTGTTTGTCTAGAATTCAGTGCTTCCTTTTCCACACTCTGGCTGACTCTATTTGTTTTGGAATTTAGCAGTAAACATCACTCATATGAAATAAAATATGTCTTCCATTTAAGTGCTTGATTAAAGCCAGACTTTATTTCTAAAAGTCATGTCATTTTAATCACAATGTTTCTGTATAAGGCATTCCACATCTGATATCAGGCTGAAGAAATAGATAATAATTAATGAGTAGCTTGTATGGTGCATAACCAAGTGTAGATTGAAGGCCAAAGTGTTGTTTTGTTTTTATGTTTTGTGTCTTGTTTTAATTTTAAGCCCACATTCTTTATCAGTATTGTTTGCTTCCTATATAACTTTCCCATCATTTAGATTCCTCCTCTTTGGGCTTTCTGAAGCATCCTGACTTTTTCTGTCTGCTGTTTCAACTGCAGTTCCCTGACTGCCAGAGCTATGTTTAATTCTCATCCTAAGAGAGATATTTTCTGGTTGGATAGTGACTGATGAAGCAAATATTGGTAGCACTTTCCCAACTCTGACCTCAGTTTTCCCTTCATTTCCTCTACTGTCACTGGTGATGACGTCACAAGCCAGTCTCCTAGGGGACTCCCACTCATTTCCTCTGATGTCTTGATTCATGCTGGGGTCTCCTAACTGAGCAGGTGACATCATGTTCCCAAAAACCTCTACCAATGAATGGAGGTCCCAAACAGCATCCCCTGAAGAAAGCACAAAGAGAACACAACTAGAGGGCCAAGAGAAAGCTTCTGCTTGCCCATGTATATTAAGGGAATCAGAGGAAGGTGATCTCAGGCACAAGACAGATGCTTGATGCAATGGAAAGAAAGAACCAGCCTAACAGAAGGACAAAGAAAAGGTAACATGACACTTGGCATGCAAGCCCTGTCTATGGAAACGGCTGCGCACTGAGTCTGCCTCAGTAATGAGAGATTCATCCCTCTCCTCTCAACACTTTGAACCCACAAGAAGCTTAAGACTCAGTGTTTTGGTACAATGGACTCTATCACACACACCCCACACCCCTTTCTCCTCTTAACAGGCATCTCTTCTAGCAAGAAGTTCTGAGTGAAAGCTGCCTGGACCACATGCTCCATAACTTGGTCATCAAAATGATAGTTTGTCCTTTCTTTCACCTGTCTACTCTCAACTGTGAACATTGCAGCATCTTAACAAATGTTACCTCACGGTTTGAATTACCCATGCAGGGGAACTAGAATGAACATGCCCATGTCCAACCACACAGTTAATCATGTATGTGAAAACACATAAACCTACATACCTAAATATGTTGACATACACACATTAATACATCAACTAGAGGAGGGAAACCCTCATCTTCTGTTTAATCAGTGTTCCTCAAAGAACAACTGCAGCTCTGTCCTAAGGAAAAGGATTGACATCACTCTCTAGGAAGTTTCCCATCAATAGATGAGATAATAAGACACATAAGTAATCAACTATAGAGAAAGGAGGCAGCAAAGCTGGGTAAACCTTGTGGTATCCACAGTTTTCAAACTGAAGATGGGGATGAATCTGAAAATTGAAAGTCAAGCAAAGCCAAAGATTGTTCGAAGAAGACAGCTTTATTAGTGGTTAAAAAGAAACCACCAGGGCATGTGGAAGTGAATCTCAGCACCTGTGAGGAGAAGGAAAATGGAGGAGAGAAGGCATGCAGTTTAAGGTAAGCCAGCATGAAGGCCAGCCACATGAGGATAAGCTGATATATATTATAAATATAATAGAGGGGAGCTTTAGAGAAAGATAAGAAAGCCCAAAGTACTAGGAAAAGCATACTTCAGTTCTGGCCAGTATCTGAAAGAAAGAGACATAGAAGACAAATAAGGAAGGAAACACATGAACAAAAACAAAACAGCAATATACAAACCAAAGAAAAGACAAAAAAGGAAATCTGTGTTTCTGAGTCAGGACAAAAGAGCAGACAGAACAAGCTGAGCGTCCAGAAGGCTGACTGGGATGATGCTAGTGGGCTTGAATTTGTGAAGGTAAAACAGTATCTCTGTCAAGGGATAATCATTCTGCCCATCCCCCACCTTCCTAGGGGGCGGTCCCTTAGCCAGGTGATGGACCAGCCCCACTGGTTTAAAACTGTTTTCTGTTTTAAGTAGCTTGGAGTGTTAGTTCCCCACTCAGGCCAGAAGTTCTTTTTTTTTAAGATTTATTTTATGTATATGAAGACTGTTTTCATGCACAGCAGAAGAGGGGATCAAATTCTATTACAAATGGTTGAAAGCCACCATGTAGTTGCTGGGGATGGAACTCAGGTCCTTTGGAAGAACAGCTAGTGCTCTTAACTGCTGAGCCATCTCTCCAGCCCCAGAAATTCTAGACCAGAAATAACTAGTTTTCCCTAATGGACCTTTATTGCTACTGAGGTGTTTAGCTAGGACTTGGGAAGTAATTAGTAAACACTTAGTCAATGACTAGTTGAAATAGTCTTGAGTCTGAATCTCAGTTTTATCCCATGTTAGAAGTGTCAACTGAGAAAAGATTCACTGAGCCTAAGTTCCCTCTCAGTAAAGTGAACCAGACTAACCGTTAACAGTGTTTGGAAGATTCCAGTGGTGCCAACCACACGAATACATTGGCTACTGACTGGAGGAAGTATTTAGGACTAAGCTAATGAATACACATGCTCGCTTGGACTGCGGAAGAGGGTGTGCAGACTTGAGACTAGCAAAGCTTATGGTTCACACTTCAGAAAACAAAACAAAAAACGGTTGAGGAGGGTCGCCTACTCGTGCTCCTAGCACGTCTCTCAGGGATGCATCATCTCAGGCATCTTAGATTCTGGAAGCACCAGCTCTTGTCTCTCTGAACCGTTTTTCTTTAGACTTGAGGTAAAAAACTTTTTCTGCCTCCTGGATATAAGGCTGCAAAAAAATGTCAAAATGTTGCTGGCTGGTGGGGACGGCTGAGGGTAGCCAAAAGCAGACTAAGAGCCTCAGGGTGGAGACGTGTGTGTGTGTGTGTGTGTGTGTGTGTGTGTGTGTGTGTGTGTACACCAGGTTTGAACCCAGGGCTCTGTGTGTGCTAGAAAAGTAGGGTACCCCCATGCTCTCCCTAAGCCCCTCTCCCCCTTTAATATAAATGTCTGTGCTGTTATCCTGTGCCTGTTCCCATCACTGAGTTTTGGGAGCAAATTGCCTGAATTTCAGTGGGTCACAGATAGTGCAGGTTCCTGGAATCTGAACGCAGCAGCAGAGGGAAATTTAGAAGCAGACAGAATTAAGTTTTCTAAGTTGACTTTAGATTATCCCAGGGTTCAGGCAATCGCCAAGATGCTACATATGGAAGAGGAGCAGAAGAGAAAAAGAAGGCAAAGTGAGAAGGAGGAAGAGGTCCATAGCCAAGGAGTGCAGGTGGCCTCCAGAAACTACAAAGGGCAAAGGCTCCTTTAGAGCCCACTGCTCAGGCAACAGATTTGTGTTGCTTAGCTCTCCAGGGTCAAGTAACTCGTAATTATTTTTACAGCGGCCCAGAGGAGCTAAGGCCTGTCCTGCAGCATACTATCAGGCTCTTAAAAAATTACATCATACGCATTCCGCAGCATCCCTCCTTTCTCAGCCTAAGAACTTCTTTGGGATGTAAAGCAACAACCAGGCAGACCGGCCTGGCACACAGGTGCACAACACACGTGAGTTTCCAGCTTCCATTTCCCTTCCAGGTGGGGGTCGCACCAGGCAGGAGAGCAGGAACCCAGCGCCCTTGTGATAGAGCCAGCACCCTTTTCCTTTGATATGGGCTGTGGGAAAGAGTCTCTCTTAGGCTCCCCAAGCACACCTTATCTAGGGAAGCCTCCATATCTGTCTTTGGGGGGGCCCACAGCTCCCACCTCCCGCACGAAAACCCTGGAGAGCACAAAAGCCCTTTAAGAGGCTGGAGAGGAGAGGCTGGCCCCAGCCTCCCTCTGCAAACAGGCTTCAAAGATGAAAGAAAAGGCTTCTACCTCCTGCCTCTGCCAGGGCCGCTGAGCCAATCAGAAGCTGGTGCCTCCCCACTGAGGCCAGCACACTCAGAGCAAATACCTCTTCCTCCCTTCCACAGATCCCCAAACAAACATCCCTTAAACAGTCCAGACGTCAGTGCTTCGGTTAGTTGTGTTATGAGCTTTTATTTAAAAAGCACATTTAATACATGTTTAGTTTTGCAGATACACATTTTCACTTTGTATGCCACAAAAGTCTTTGAATATTATTCTCTTTACAAAACGGAACCTTACAAAAATACTGACAATTTAATGTTTTTATACAGTTTTTCCTCTAGTTGTAGTTATTTCTCTCATTGTAAAACAATGGCTACCACAGAACTATGATTTTTTTAGTTGAGATTTAAAAAAAAAAAAAGAAACTCAATGCTCCTTTAAGCAGCTAAAGTAAATAACACAGGTCGAGACACAGTTTATAGTCATAGTGGATATAACTAAAATTGTTTCAGAAATAATATCTTACATAGTTAACTTTTAATGTTTTATACATTATTTATATAATATTTATATATAAAATCATAGCTTGCTCTATGTTGAAATGAAAGGACGGAGTCTGTGGAAAGATATGTATGTGGTTGACCCATATGGTTGCATGTAGCCCTTTGAAAGATTTGAAAAGCACTTTGTTTCTCTTCTTCTTTTCCTTGGAAGTTCAGTAGAAGGGTCCCTGTCTACTGTCTAGAGTAGGAACTTGCTTGGAAGGACACCGTGGATAGAGGATGAGGAAAACTCTCTTACGAAGATTGGACCATGTGTTCCGCCCAGCAGAACCCACCAAGAACTGTCCCAGGGGTCAACCCCGAGACAATAGTGCTTTATACAGCAAAAAATCAACTCCTGTAACGCTCCAGGCTCCCTCATCTTGAAGGGTAGCCTTCCGGGCACAAGGCCATGCCACCCTGGCTCTCTCTGATCCCAAGGAGCCAAGAGTTGGTTCATTTTTTTTTTTTCATTCTGCCCTTTCCCTCCCTTTACTGAAGCTCTTTTGATCAGCCAAAGGCTGACCACGCCTTGTGCTCATCCCTGGCCCTCACATGAAATCCCGGCAGGCCCCCAGCAAGGACAAAAGGGGGATAGCAGTAACCGAAGTCTATGCGTCTCTACACGTGAAGTGCCGGGTGATTGATCCTGCAATGGCAGTTCCTCGTCACAGTGTGGTGTATGAGAAGACACCCTCCGGGCCTTCGGAAATTGTGCTATTTGTGAAGTTCACTCTTCCACAAAGGGTCTCCTAATCTCTAAAAGTGAGGGGCTGCGGTTGTTAGCCTGGGGATGGGGAGATGGCAGAGGCCTCGGGGCTTGGGACTCGGATTCAGAATCTGACCATTTGACTGAGCAAATGCGCTCATGCCCAGGATTTCAAAATGCAAAACTTCAAATTGAACCAAAGTCACAGTAGAGTGGGGCGGGCAAAGGGCTGAAATCGGTGCTGGCTCGAGCCTTGTGGGCTACTTAGGAGCTCTAGCTGTTCTCACTGGCCTGGCATTTCTCGGGTCACAAAAGGTGACCGCAGTCTCTGCTCAATTATTCTAGTGTTTTGCTCCTGGACAAGCCGGTGTTCACTAGAACATGAACACTTAGCCAGCCGCAAAGCCGGAACTCAGGACTCAGGCACTGTCATCCCCACACAGTCAACCAACCTATTTTGGAAGGCCACAAGATAAGGCTTTTCTTTTCTTTTCTTTCTTTCTCACTCTTTTTTTTTTTTTTTTTTTCTGTAAATGTTTTCAAAATCCACTGGGCAAAAAAGCTTTTCCCTACATTCTACTGTCTGATGAGATTGGAGAGCAGCAGGAACACGCTGTCAAGCAGTCACTTCAGAGAAACCGCTCCGGAGGCCCGCAGCACCTACACCATGTTATGGTGATTGTTCCTGTCGATGATGTCCACAGGTGACAGGATCTCCCTCCTGATAGCAGGGGCAGGCAGCGAGAGCGAAGTCTTATTCTTGAAGAGGTCAGACACAAAGAACACCTAGGGTGCAAACCAGAAATCCAAATCAGTAAGTGCCCAGTGTGGCCCAGGAACAGGCCAAGAGAGATGCAACAAACACAGACAATAAAAAAAAAAAAAAAAAAAAAAAAAGAGGGGCCCAAATCAGAGATTTTTAGCCGGTGGGGTGGGTAGGAGGAGGTTGGCGGTAGAAGTCTTATCTTCCAGCAATCACTGTGCAGACAGGAAACTGAGGCAGTAACTAGCCTGGGCTGTGAAAAGAGTAAACCCTACTTTCATGGACTTTTAGTCAGTGTTTCGAATCTGCAGGTTAACATTTCTGATTTCTCAAGGCAAATGTGTTATGAAAGGTAAGTTTCTAACAAAGGGAGCACTCATAATTACTCAGTTATTAATCCACACTGCTTTTCTTTTCCTTACAAAGGAATCCATATTGGGACCAAAGGAGATCAGCCAACACAAACTCTGACAGCAGGAGCCGGAGCAAGGAACTAATGGTGACCACATTTTCCTAAAAGCCCCGTGATATCAACCATGTGAGGGAGGAGTCCAGAAGCCTGGGTCTTGACAGTGAGAGTCAGCAACTTACTGGGAAGAAAGGTCAGTGGGCAAACCTCCTGCCCTCATTCCCAGCATTCTTCCTCCTCCCCAGCATGTGACCTTCCTGAGTCTTTCTCATAATGATTGGGAAACATTTACAAAACACCCAGTTGCAAGATGGCTCAGACGTGGTTGCTGTCTGAGGGAGCTTATGATGAAAGAGTCAAGAACCTGAGGAGCTACTGGAGTAAGGAAAGTTGGCTTCCCATTAGGCAGCCAAACTGAATACACAGAAGCAGCCTGAGAGATTCAGCAACAGGAGTTTGTATTAAAGAATCCATTGTAATTGGCAGCTGTCAGTCATGTAATTTAATAAGGTATACACAACTGGTTTATACTGGGTTCATACTGGGAATGAATTACATAAAGATCCTGGCTGGTGACATAGCTCCATGGTGCTTATCTAGCAGGGACGATGCCCAATAACCGGATCTGCAACACACACACACACACACACACACACACACACACACACACACACACACACAC